CGTAACTCGAAAAGCGAGTACCTCGAAGTACGTAACTCGAAAAGCGAGTACCTCGAAGTACGTAACTCGAAAAGCGAGTACCTCGAAGTACGTAACTCGAAAAGCGAGTACCTCGAAGTACGTAACTCGAAAAGCGAGTACCTCGAAGTACGTAACTCGAAAAGCGAGTACCTCGAAGTACGTAACTCGAAAAGCGAGTACCTCGAAGTACGTAACTCGAAAAGCGAGTACCTCGAAGTACGTAACTCGAAAAGCGAGTACCTCGAAGCGCGTAACTCGAAGATGACATCCCGTGTATACTGCGCCTGCAGTAGTACTTTGTTGTGTTTGGTTTTCACGGGCGGTAATACTAAGGGTTATAACCCCCTAAAGCATTAACATAAAAATATGTATTCTTTCCACAGATGAAGTTGTTTCATATCGTAGTATTGCCATTTTGCAAATTTTGACCGTTAAAAATCAATCTGTTCTGTAACAGATCATCATACTATAATCCCCCTCAGCGACGCTGTCAGAGGGGAGACTGAGGCTTAATCACGCAAGGATAGTAATTATTGAGCAGATCACGTTCTATGTTCCTCATATTCCTATGTTTCTGTCATCATCAGATCAGGGTTTATGCCCCCCCTCCCCCCCACCCCCCAAAAAAAGAAAGAAAAAAAGTGAAAAGTGCAAAGCGGCCATCGCTTAACTTTTGATATATACCAGGGTATATACTTGTTTTGGATAAAGAGAGATAAATATTTGAACCAATCATATATATGTATACCGTACTTTCCGGAAATGAGTTCTATTCTCAGGTCACGAGAATCTAAGGAACGAATCAAAGGCTGACTATTTTGGTGCACGTAAAGCATGAATCACAGTGTAGATAACTTACGGAACCGTCACGAACGACGCTGAATCGAGAAAATAACAACAACAACAACAACAACAACAGATGATGCAATTAAAATCAACTGCTGCATTGTTCGCCTATCAAAACCTCGACTTCATCAAGATCACGTACTGTACTGGTATATATACGTGAATGCTGTTTTAGAGATTGAAARAGATTGAAGCCTTCTTTTCGTGAAAAAACAGCCCRCAATAGGTTTACGGTTCGGCCTTCGGCCTCAAGGTATATAAACTATAAGAACGAGTAAATCCAGCCTCTGGTTCCCAGGGTACCCACAATAATAATGAAAATCGGATTAACTCATTACACGCCACTAATATTATGGTCAACAAAATGTCACACGATTTTTCGCGGTAGAAATTCGCATTTATTTTGACCTATTACACGTCAGCGTCATTTTGTTTCAATAATCTCCACAGAATGTTCTTGAACATTTTTTGGTACAATATTTGTTTTGTGTTCGAAGCGAACGTTAAACATGTCGAGAATTATAACTATCACACAATTTACTAACCATCAATCAGAGTACCAGACAAAATATCGCCTAAAATAACTATATTAGTATAGAAATATTCACGCTCTAGCTAGTAGAAATATTCAACGTCATATTATGAAACCATCTAACTATGAAATATTTATTTGRCAAAGTCATCACAAGCTTTGGAATTCTTTGACCGTTGGTCATGGTATACGCCCAGGGTGAACACTTGAGGTTTTTAGCGTCTCAATACTCCAGACCTAATTCTCATTGACATGAAGGACTCTAGTGAAAGATACCATTTCAACTATCCACTTAAACTGTTGGTCAAAATATTTGTTCGCCTTGCAATAAATCCTTTTTTTTTAACTTTGCATTTCATCCATTCGCTTCATTATTCGGTTATCCTCTTGTCCCATGCATTTATCGTACCCCCTTAAAATTCATCTCGGGGAGAAAATAGTGGGTCATATTATAACTCCCAAAGCAGCGATCGTTCATTTGCCTCGAGGTAGACGTTACGTAATATATCTATTGGCCTCCTTTGTTTATTCAAGAATAGATGTTTTCTTTAATTACTTCTAGTAAAAAAACCCAGATATTATACAAATTATGATATCCCTGAGCCACATTAGCTAAAAGTTAATMAAATTTTAATAGGGAAGCATTCTGGATAAGTAGAGAAAGGAGAGAAATTAATAGTCAAAAATACCATCGTGTTTTTATACGCGAAATATTAATAATTATTAAAAAAAAAAAACATTCATGCATCGATGCATTTCTTTGCAGCGTACTAAATATGATTTTAGCAATAATAAATAGGTCAGTTGATCTTTCTTTTATTCAACAATATTTTTTTTTTCAAAAAATCGGATTTTTATTGACTTACTAATTCAAATGTTTCGTTTTACTTTGCACCGCAAAATAAGCTACAACGCGAACGTAGCATAGTATTTTATTTTAAACTCACCTCCCACGGCTAAAATAGCCTATAAACAAGGTATAAATAACGGTTCTTTAGTCCATATACGACTAACAATCCCCCTGACCTACTCACCCCTTAAAAACCGTTAAATTCAAACGATCTGCGTATCACTAACAACATATCTGTTACTAAGTGTTTACGATAAACGGGTATAAAAAGAGTCGTAAACCGTTAGGCTATTAGTTTGAATCTAGAGCCGTAAGCAGCAGGACAGAGAACCAAAGACAAAACAATCAGCAAATCAGGTAAGGTTATAGCTGGCTATCAGTTCATATCGGATTGCATTTTCCCGGTGTAGATTTGATACTATGATCTAGTTTTCTTCTTTATCGGAACTCATTTCGGGTGGTGCAAAAGGTGGTGAAGTATATTTTGAGCCCATCTTTACAATCGACGCWTTTTTGTTTCGGCTCGAATCTCGAATGAATGCAAAACAATGATGAACAAATGTCATACTTTAGTAAAATCGTTTTATAACGAGGTTCAATCTTAAAACTTTATACTTATAAAGAATTGCGACAAATTTGACATTTATCGTTTCGCAGTCACCGCTATCAGAAGTTTTGATATTTTCATTGAGGGGTGATTTTTTTAGACAGTTTGGAGATCCACTGCTTAGAACAGTTTAAACTATGAAAAAAAACCTAGGCTCCTTTTGATCTGCCATTAATTAGCGCAACGACACGATATCGTACAATATGAAGTCATTTTCAAAATTGAACGAATTGAAGACATTTTTCGGATGTAATACCCTACACAACTATCACAGGAACTCTTTTCATTTGTGAAATCGAATCAATTRCGACAGAGCGTCAAAGGCGAAAGGAAAAATAATCTTTATAGTAAAGTTCCTTTGTTTTTACCAAAATCTTACCGCTAGATTTTGAAAAGTGTATACGAATGGCAATAGTGCAATTTGAATATAAATACTGTTCTCCTGATCTATGAGGACGACCCCAACTTGCGTAAACCTTTTTTTGAAATCATTCAAGTCATTCGGTATATAGGTAACAACAAGGGATACGTACAGCCGGCGAGCCATTAATAAAATACGACCTCTACAACGACTAGAATTGCTTTAATAACGGTTTAAACGGTACCGTAAGTACTGTCATCTACATACATCTCTACAAGTCGTAGAGATCATCACAGTTAGGCTATTTCGAGGTACTTTGTGGACAGCGATCAAATTCAACCTATCTCTTTCTCCTCGAAATTTTATCTATTTATTTTTATGATTGGAATATAAATATTATTGTTGACCCTTACAGTCTAATACGCATGGTGGATCGGTAAAACGTCACGCACTAATATATAATTGGAAAAGTCTGGGCACTAGTAGGCCTGTGTTTTACAGAGCGCTTACTGGTTGAAGTCGATCCTTTTATGGTTAGGATTCCATGGTAACCGTTCTATATTTATGACAAAGAGTGTATAATGATGAAAGGTTCAGGGGAGATAATCAATTTATCGACCATCTTTCCTTACGYTGTGTATTTGTTGTGCAGTTCAGGGAATGTGCAAAAAATTGGACACACTGAAAATCTAGTTCATATTTCTTTTAAAAATGAACTTAATTAATAATTATTTCTGTATAATCCCTAGATATCTTTACGATCATACAATGAAGCACAACTGCTAGTCATTACTTTATGCCTACTATTGACATCACATATAGCAGTTAAATTAATTGATAAATATGTTTATACAATCCCTAGATATCTTTACGATCATACTATGAAGCAACTGCTAGTCATTACGCTATGCCTACAATTGCCATCCACATATAGCAGTTTAATTAATTAATAAATGTCTATACAATCYCTAGATATCTTTACGATTATACTATGAAGCAACTGCTAGTCATTACGCTATGCCTGCTATTGACATCCACATATGGCAGTTTACCCAARATATCCCCACCGTCGAACCTACAAACCAGTGAATGTCACCAGTGCTACCTGACCTGCAAGTACAAAGCAGCGGAGGAGTGCTATCACAGGTGCCCGAGGAACTTTCGCCTGGCTCGACTGCTAAGCATGTGCTACGAGATGTGTCTTATGGGTAATATTGACCGATGCATGGCGCTGGATGAATGCAAGAGACGTAGGCAGGAGAGGATAACCGCTGATGYCGAGTTTATGGACGCAATYGACGATGCGATCAAACGATTTAACTGATCTTGGATCAAAAGGACTCAAAGCGTTATATCATGTAAATTTATGCTTTTATATAGTTTTTAACAACAAGAATTACTTATAAATCAAACAAAAAAATGCGATAAAAAGACAGCATCAAATAAGAAATGTTCTACACGTGACGCACATGGAACGAAGAAAAAAAACCTTGTAAAACGAAAMGTTTTATAGCATTACATATTCTGTTGTATTTGTATGATTTGCTTTGTATATTACGATGTCCTTTATTTTGCTGTAATTTCGAAAATTTGTTGGTTATTTTGCAGGTCTTCTCTGAATTTAAGCTTAGCTTTAGATAACATTCTATGTACAAACGAATTATTTTAGTCTTAATGATTATTTAAACAAAACTGCAACGGTTTTCATGTTGCCGGAGTTTCAGTTATAAATTAATACGCATGTATATTCAATAAGACATAATTTGCAATAAATAAATATCATGTAATCCAATATTTTGTATTCTTCTCTACATTAAATCCTCAGGGGGGTGGGGTAGGGAGGCGTTCTTGTAGACTTACCATCAGGGTGTCGATTCGATGTAGCAACAACAATCACTCCTTGATCAAACAAAACTGTGAATAGTTTCTTGAGAATCATAGCATCTGCAATGTCTGTCACCTAGAGAAAACAAATCAAGAAATATACTACCGTGTTTTCTTAGTCAACTCTCTGTAATATGGTCGGCATTCAAATATTTTCTTCAGTACAGACCTGGAACTTTTATTTTTTTATAATCAATATATTTGTCCATCCATAAGGCCATTTAGATGCCGCCTAACTGTTGCTTCAGAGAAAGAAAAGAACGAATGTTCACGCTTTTATGTTATCGACGCAAGCTCTTAGCAAAATGCCGACTACCTGTGTTATTACATCACGATCCCGTGCCTCGCGGGTCTACACTACAGACTAGTATGTATCCAGCTAGGCACGGGAACGTGAAGAAGTGCCACAGGTAATCCACAAGTTCAAAGAGCCCGCGCTCATCGAAGCAAGTAAGCAAAGCGCGCGCATATGCTTTTCAGATTTTTATTTTTTTTTTTTTATTTTTTGGTGTTTATTCTATATGTAATTAATAAAATACAATAAAAATGCATAATAAATTTTAGCATGCAAGGTTAGTTGATTAGCCTGCGGCCCACCGACACAATGAAGAACATGATGTTTAAAGTGCACATGACACCTTTTAGAAAAACACTTTTATCCGAAAGGTAACACGCTGCCAAGTACTTCTGTGAAGAAAGAAATAGATGTTGAATTGTATTTTCTGTGTTATAGACATTCGAAAATTGAAAATGCAAATGAAGTGATGTCAACTAAGGAATTGATCCAGACTTTTTACATTGTTTGCGCTATGCTGTTTTTGGTTGAAGAGCTAAAATCATCAATCGCAGTAATAATTGCGAGCTGAAAATGCTTTTTCCAATGTAACAAAAAGAATAACGTTCTCTTCCATGATTTTGTATATCAAATCATTCCCTAGTAGASGTCACTTCATTTGCATTTTCTAAGTTTTAATTGCCCATAACTTACAAAATACAATTTAAAATCGATTTCTTTCTTCACAGATGAACTTAGCAGCATTTTCTCTTTTGGATGAGAATGAATTTCTAATGGTGTCATGTGCACTTTAATAAAATGGTTCTGACCAATGATTGCAAAATGGTATACTATATGATTGTACTACTAGTAAATCTAGAATGAAATAATGTCTGGACTATAGACCCTATAGTGATCCATACCTGGAACTCATCAAAACACAGCAGCCACGCCTCCTGACTAATCTCTGCGGCAACAGGTGGTATTGGGTCAAATGGCTGTGAACGTATGGACTTAGGATCTCTGGGTGGTAATAATTTCTTTTGTTTATGAACTCCTACATGGAGAAATGATAATAATCAACACAGCTGGCACACAACAGTCACTGACGTGGCTAAGTTGATATTTTATTTTTTGTTTTTAATTTAAACTCAAAAGGAATGATTGAAAATTGAAAACCTGTATTAGAGGGACGTTAAAGAACCCACACCACTGTTCGCATAAGAGTAGGGAATGATTCCCGGTGTGTGTGGCTAGGCCTTACTACTAACCCATACTAATTATTAACCCCTCATGATTGTAAGCCGCGTGGCTGCCAATTGCGCCTTAAACAACGGTCCGTGTGAAATGATCTATACATGTGAAGCGCCTTTGAACTCAGAGGATATCGGTGCTATATAAATAACACATATTATTATTATTATTATTATTATTATTATTATTATTATTATTATTATTATTATTAAATTGCACTTTTTACTCCAGAATTGACTTGGAAGAACTCAGTAGCAAGTGCTATCATAAGATCTAACATAACGGTATTACAGACTGGGTCTGGCTATTTTTATAAGATGAGGAGTGCTTGAGCGTTCTCGTATTAACTGGCCTAAGAAACAATGAAAGGAGGCTTTAGAGTCGGATTCTGTTTGACTGTGCGAGCACTGGGATCACGGCACAGACACGAMACAGCACAGTCATGGAAGCTCACATGGGTGAGTGATGCCAAATGAAAATAGTGATTCAAGAATACACGTCATCATGGAACCACAAGGTCACTGCTTGAAAGTGCCATATGATGATATATTTTGCACGTCATACAAAATCCACTCTGAATAATGGTTGTGCTATAAACTTGTATGGAGGACGATCCTTTTTATTTTTGAAATACTGCATAATTTGCAAGAAACAAATTTTGGATGCCATGAAGTAGCATTGAAAAAAAGGCATGTGAAAAGGAGAAAATAAAAATACCAGGAAAGTGGGAACTACAGTACAAGCTTGTTGTGATACCAAACTCACTTTTATGTACATCCAGCATAAATGAATTAAAATGAACTCTGACTTTTTTGTCGACAGGAACTTGATGATAAAACAGATCCATCAGCATTGTCTTGCCACAGCCTAATAAACAGACCRATTCATTTAAGAAGAAACATTGTCTCTATGACTATTATATTTTTCGTTTTCTTTATCGAATCTCATGGGAATGGTTGAAAACGATCAATAAATCATTCTTGAGATTGTTTTACCATCTATCATRTTACAACTCAGAATCATCTTTCTTGTTGTTACAAAGAAGCAGCTAGCTGTCATTCAAGATGGGGAATGTAATGAAAGACTGCTGTCCATACCTACACTACCATGAAGATATACACCTTTGGGAACCTTCTTGCTCTTTGAACTAAAAAACTGTAACAGGATTTAAATCATGATTTTTTTATAATTATACCATTTTTACCCTAAATATGGTTGATTAAATCAGTGCCTGCTAGTTTCTATTATTAATAATTGTAATTCATTTTAATTTATTTGTAATTATTTACAATTACATGTATATATAATTACAAAAAGAAATAATATAATATTCATTATTTTGAGGAAACCCGATTTGAAGTCATAGGGACAATATTTTAGCCTCTGACAGACGTCCTAATCAATATAACAGTTAATTTATTTGATATGTAAGCTTATTTGCTGTTATTTGCATTAAAATATAAAAATYGTGAAAACGATGGTATAGACTTTATAACTAATTAGTAATAGAAAAAAATTAATAATATTAATTTCTGTGCAAACCAAACGGCAGTACCTTTGCAAACATCCCCTGGGATGGAGGGTYGTATTTGGACACAGATTTGTAGAGTGCCTGTAGCTGTTGCACGATTGTTCTTTGATGATCATCCAGGTCGAGTTCCCCATTCTTAACCATAGCATCATAAGTYGGTAACGGTCCTTGTGCATTGTTAATGACTAATTATAAGACAATGATATCAACAATCATTTATTCTGTGCAAGCGACTATAAAAATTGAATAAAAAAAAAAGATACCAAAAAAGGCAGAAATGAAACATAAAATTCAAGAGATCCACGAAACAAAATGAGTGCATTGCAAGATATCTGTAACATAAGCTTTTTTACTTCCTTTTCTTACCTGCTGAAGTACTAAAATGTGCATGAATTCTTAAAAACCTATAAAATTTTGGACTAAAAATATGAAAACAACGGAGCCGGCCRACGGCCGCCATATTGGAAATCTTGATCCTTATGACGTCATGYTAGTACTCATTCTCACRSACGGCCGAAATCTAAAGGCTCGGCTACATATTGGTATCTAAGAGATCAAATAGACGCTTTCCGACATTTTACGACAAGCGAAGAAAAACATTATATTTTACTCCTAAAATGGGTTTATTCGACAAACTAGCCAACTGGCTTGGSATAAAGAAGAAAGAGATAAATGTTCTTTGCGTTGGACTTGACAATAGTGGGAAAACAACGGTTATAAATAAGTTAAAACCGGATAGGGTTAGTGACCCACTGATTGTGAAACCTTAAAATCGTTTCTTGATGATCATCTAACAAATSTGACACTCCTACCTKAAAAATACTAAATATTCTTTGTTTTCTTTTGGTAGTCTCAAGCACAAGATATAGTTCCTACAATAGGATTCACGGTRGAGAAATTTTCAAGCCAAAAGTGAGTGATTTTATAGCGCTAGTATCTCTATGCTTACTTCCTATGTAAACATCCTTAACAACAATTAAAATTTCAAAATCGATAAAAACATAAGAGTTATGAAAAKATTTCTATTTTGTAGGATTATAGTTGGAATTTCACGGGAATTAGTTAGATTTGCATTGGATGATGTCCAATGTTGATAAATTGTGACAGTGTTTTGAGAAATACAGGAAAAGTGACCACTTCATGACGTCAAGGTCTGGCAGCAGATGCTAACAAGAAATATACTCCAAWTAGAATTCGATGAAAAAGTACATTATTTATTACAATATTATTCATTCAAAGCTTATATTTTTGATATTTTATAGTCATGGGGCATTTTAAATCATGGGTATAATTTCAGACAATTTAGATGATATTATGTGTCATAAATGTGTAAAATAATTAATGCCAACATTGTAGGTACTATTTTAAAAAAAAGAAACAACATGTGTTCATGACATAACTGTTCTCACCATATTAAATCGATTCATTGTAACATTGTGGCAGCTGCCTTACAGCAATTGCCATATCATTAACCAATATAATACAAATGTACAATGTACATTATAGTAATATGTAAAATGGTTTACTTCATTAACCAATATAATACATGTAAAATGGTTTACTGTGTATTTTAGATGGACCATGCAGGATAAAGCCATGCATGTATAATACACACATGTATATACTAAAATCAAACATTTTTTTTTTTAGTTTAAATTTTACCATGTTTGATATGTCTGGGCAAGGCCGGTATCGAAACCTTTGGGAACACTATTATAAGTAAGTAAAGCATGAATACAATGCATTTATTTTACTTTTTATTTGACATTTTAAAGCCCGCTTGCATCTGAGAAGCTTTTTTATCATCTGCAATGTTTTTGATACTTTTAATGTAGGATC